CACCCTCCCCGCCACCACTGCGCCCCGCCCCGCTTCACTGGCTGCGGAATGCCGTGGGAGTGGACCCTTGCCATTATTTTCCCACAGCTCCTCTCCCTCCGCCCGCCCGGCGGCCCCAGCAGCAGCAGCAGCAGCAGCACGACTCACTAAGGTCCACGGCTCGCCTCGTATTACCCAGCGCCTTACTGTATTGCCCGGACCACTCATACAAGAGGCAGCGAGCGAGAGGTAAGCGCGAGGTATAGGCCGTCGTCAACATCGTGGAGATGGGCTTGCTTAATCGCCCCTCAAGGCTCTACCACACGCCCAACGCGCACGTTGGCCACCACGAGACCCAACCGCGTCGACAAGAAAGACGTCCGCGAGGCGCACCCGACAAAAAAAGAATGCATGCAGGTGTTGCGGGTTTGCTTTACTCTGTCCACCAGTAAGCGGGCATATGGCGCCTGCGGCCATATTGAGTATGCAAACCCGCAACACCGGGGATCGTTTTCAAAGATGCACCCGGTACTCTGTACTTGATCCTAGAAGTGCAAATACCTTGGTACAAGTGATACACACTTGAAAAGTCTATTGTACATGATGCAAGATTTTATTTGAGGGTGTCTGCGGATATTGTAAGAGGGCCGCTGGCTGCTCGCGGAGTCTGCTGCGCCACGGAGGTATGCACATCTCAGCAAAGGTGCACTGAGTGGTGGGGGCGGCGCCCGCACCGCGACCGCTCGGCTGCCGGCGGTGCCGCCCCTGACCCCCCTCACCATGCTTCGCCGGCTAATACGCCATTGCTCCGGTACACAAGGCGAACTCCCCCGCCCGACTCCACTCTCTTCTTGGTCAGCCCGGGCGTTCGTTGACACCAAAGCCCCACCGCCGGCCGGCCCGCCCATAACCACACTCTCCCTCCCCCTCCTTCCCCTCCTCACCCCTTCCCCCCCTCCCCCCACCCCGCCGGTACGCGGTCGTGCATACCTCCGGGAGAGGAAGGGGCAGCAGTACGTACTGCGGCATTGAGCAGCAGAGAGACGCTCAATAGGGTACCTCGAAAAACACTTTTTTTCGAATCTGACATCGGCTCGGGTGGATAAATGTTCTATCCAGTAACACTATTAACGGTGTGAAATATTATTTTGATCGGATAAAATCTTCAGCCTCCACAGCGGCCTCAAAGTTTAGCACGGAGCTCTTATGGGAAAAAAGGTTAAAAACTGAAATTTTTTACGTGAGGGTTCCAGTTGAAAATTTCGCTATTTTAATTAGTAGAAATGGAATCTACGCGTAAAAACGCTTCCGGAGATGTGCTCCTTCATGTCATATGTACCCAGCTTGTATGACCAAAATTTGCAATTTTGACGCAAAATCAGCTTTTTTGACAGGGCCTTGGTCATAACGGACGGGTACTCATATGACAAGTGGCACATCTCTGGATACGTTTTTATGCGTAGATTGCATTTTTAAAAATTAAAACAGCGAATTATATGACAGGAACCCTCCAATGTAAGATTTCAGTTTTTACGCTTTTTTCCCATAAGAGCTCCATGCTAAACTTTGAGGCCGCTGTGGAGGCTGAAGATTTTATCCGATCGAAATAATATTTTAGACCGTTAATAGTGTTACTGGATAGAACATTTATCCACCCGAGCCGAAATCAGATTCGAAAAACGGTGTTTTTCGAGGTACCCTAACGCTCAACGCGGCCCCGGTTACACTAGGTCAGTGCCGCCAGACGGGCTGGCGGTGCAGTGTAAGCGCGCCCGCGGTCCTAAAGCGTCTAGGCGGCGGGACGGCGGGACCCAGCCCCGGGGAGAAGGGGGCAAGGGGGAGGCGTCAGAGCTGCTTCATCACAGAGTGTCTCACACCGGCGCCCACGATCCATGGCCAAGACAGAGGGCACCAGACAAGCCGCCGCACGCGTGGGGTATACAGTGGTGCGGGGTCGGACTTCTGTGCCAAAAAAATATCTACATGGTGGGCGCCGCCCCACCCGGTCGCAGAGGTGCTACGACAAACGCGTACTTATGGAAACATCTTTCCCCTCATCAGCAAGCAGGCAGCGACACTTGGTCGCGCTTCACTTCAACTTCAACAAGGGTTATCCTTCACAACTTCCACTTCAATGAGGGTTTACGACTGCTGCTCTTCGTTCATAGCCAATAGCTTAATTTTTTACTGCACAGGTGAGAAAGTATGCATCCCCGGTCGGTAAGCAAAGGCTATAATTATAATTGTAAACATTTTATTTTCCCCGGGTAGGACAGTGGCGGGCGTGGTGCTTGCACCGGCGGCGCAGAGCGACTCCCATCGCCCGCGATCCTATCGCGCAAACAGACTCGGCGGAAGAGATTCCATTCAGCCGAACGGTTTGAACTCAACTCCCCCGGGGCGCAGCAGCAGCAGCAGACGGGGCAAACAGCTCGAACGGACGGGCGGGCGTACCGACGGACGGACAGACGGACCGACGGACGGAAAGGCACGCCGCCGCCGTGACAAGCCGCCCGCCCGGGGCAACACATGCAAAAGGAACGAACGAACGGGATTGATGATGGCCGGGGGTCCCGGGCCCTGGTCCCACCGGCCCCCGGCGCGCGTGCGGTAGGTCGCGAACCTGTTCCGAGCGAGCGCGTCCAGAGCCCGGCGGACCGTGGTGCCCGTCAGCCGAAGGGACAGCGCCGCGCATCAGCCCGGCCCGGCCCCGCCAAGCGCCCCGACGCGACACTCTCACTTTCCTCCCTCTTGCACCTGCACGGCGGGGCAGCCGGTGCAGCGCAGCGCGGGCTCGTAAGCTGCGCCTCTGGCTCTGCCGCGAAAGGTATGCAGCTCAAAGGTCCGTGCCAACGACCTGCAGGGCGCCGGTGCGCGGCGTAGCGTGGCGACGGCAGCAGCAGCACCGACCAGGGCCGGCGGCCGGCCAAGGCCTTTCCTGTAGGGGCCCATAAGCAAGTTGGATCATCTCCTCTTGCACTCATGTCTATAGTTCTGGAAGGAAAACGTTTGAAAGGGCTTAAGGAATGCATTGACTTAACTGAACGGTCCTGTATCTCGTCCTTTATGGTATACGTCACCAATCATACCGGGTGTCCGGAACAATACGCGGCAGCCCGATGGGTGGCCTACGCACTGGCTCGCAGGCGCTGGGGGCGAGGGGGGAGCGGTTGGAGGTGGCGGGAGGCTGCCGGTCCCCTCCACCGCTCGGCCGCTAGAGCGCGCGCTAGAGTCACTCTCGCAGGGAGTAGCGTGGTGGGAACGGGCGGCAACTTGCGAAGGGGTGGGGGTGGGGTAAGGCAATGCTCCGAACACTGACGAACGGAGGAGGGGGGGAGGAAAGTTAGGGTGAACACGCGAGGGGTGTGCTGCAGTTCCGCAAAGGGGTGCTTCGCGGTTCCGCGAGGGGTACTTCGCGGTTCCGCGAGGGGTACTTCGCGGTGCCACAAGGGTGCGTCGCGGACCCGCGAGGGGTGCTCCGCCGGCCGCGAGGGTGCGTCGTGGGCCGCGAGGGTGCGTCGCGGATCCGCGGGGGGTGCTCCGCGAATCCGCGAGGGGTGGCTCGCGGTCCCGCGAGGCGCGGGGCCGCGAGGGTACGTCGCGGATCCGCGGGGGATGAGTCCAAGTCCTGCCGCGGGTCCTCGCGCCCCCAGGAGCACCCCCGCGAAACTGCGGGGTAGCTCGCGGATGCGCGAGGTTCATGCGCCCCACCCCTTCGCAAGTTGCCGCCCGTTCCCACCACGCTACTCCCTGCGAGGGTGACTCTAGCGCGCTCTAGCGGCCGAGCGGTGGAGGGGACCGGCAGCCTCCCGCCACCTCCAACCGCTCCCCCCTCGCCCCCAGCGCCTGCGAGCCAGTGCGTAGGCCACCCATC